AGGCAGACTCAGACGAGAAATGATAAATGAAAGCACATGGAAGAAGAAGAAAGGATGATTCGGACCAGGAGTGCTTAATTCCCCGTGGATGTGAAGGAGGCCGTAGCTTCCATTTCATTTATGTTAGCTAAAAGCAAAGAGCTCGAGACTCAGGAGATGTCGTCGGCTGCAATTAACGCTTCCCATTTCATGAAAGTCAGAGATGAACAACATGTACTGCCTCCGTCTGACTGGAAATTGATGAATCTGGTGGAAGGCCAAGGACGATGGTGAGAGAGTATATACATGTTCGTACTTCAACAAACTTGTGCAATAAAAAAATAAGAGAGACTGAGCTACATGTATGGCGGATAACATAAGATATAGCCAGATTAGATTTGTAAGAACATATATACATATATATATATATATATTAGCCTCAGATTGTGTGATAAAAGTGGCTATGTGGGGTACTGAAATATTGCGACGCACGCATACTGTTGAGGGGGCCAATCTTATATTCCCGCATGCAAACGTTTTCTCTTTAATGTACAGAGCATGCACGTTTCCACAAGCAGAAAAAGAAAAGCAGGAAAGGGATGGATACAAAATTAGACAACGAGAGAGTTAAAAGGTTAATTTTCTATTATTGTTCTTCCTTTAGCAGCAAAGTGCTGAAGTTAACCTTTAAAAAGGGTCTTTTTCTAATCAAGGAGCTTCAAGTTTATCTGCTGGCCACTTGCTGTTGTGCCCTTGATTTGAATATTTTACATTTACTCGCATATAATATTTCTGGAGAGAGAAAGAGAAAAGAAATGAACATTAGTGTAAAGATGAAATGTGCTTTCTAATTCCACACATAATTACATTATGTTTTCTCGTTCTCTCATCAGATTCTCGAGCCCCTTTATTAATTTTCTTGCAGCAAGTGGGGCACACATCTACAGTGACCTTCACCTTCCTATTTCTGCATATAGAAATAAGGTAAGAGATCTTTTTTATGGGGGAGAATGATGTCTTCGCACATGGATAGAAATGAGTGAGCTGAGATTTAAATCTGGTTTATACTAATGGTAATGAATCTGACATAGACAGATACTAACATGCACTGATCTGTTCCAACGAGCGTGGTCCTACATATATTAATGCCACTTATATGTACAAATATTATCCTCTCTCCCTATGGCTAGTTTGATCCATAGGAATCAAAGAAGACCTTTAAGTTAATGATGGCCCCAGCTTATGGCTGGCAGAATAACAGGTTTTAGGAGAATCTGCATAAGTCAGCTTTGGCCGCTTAATCAGGAAATCTCAAGTTTTTGTGTGAATATAGAAAACATCTTTGGGAGATCAGACTTACTCTCAATTGAACCTGACAATGCTCACATAGACATATGAAAAAAATACTAATACACATGGGCCATGGTGTATCCAAGCTTAACAGGTATTGAGCAGAAGATTATGAGAAATATAGAAACTTGGGTGGAATGTATCTAAGAGGAGGCCAGGTGGGTGGCCTAGTGAGGGGGACCACTTGCAGTAAAGTGTCTTTATACTATCTTTGTTTTTTTGTCATTACAAAGTGTCTTTTATGTGTAAAAATGAGCTTTACGGTTTCATATGGACCACCATTACCAATCACATGTTGCGTAGCGTGGGTGACACTGAAACTGAAATATTTCACTGCAATTCCGCCACTAATGGGGAAAAAATGGGACCTTTAAATTTACCTGAAAAAGTGGCCCCACAGTCGCACGCCAACGTTTGTTTTTGTTTTGTCTGTGGCAACCAAAATTTGGCGTCAAAGACAACTCTGTCGCCTCCAAAATTCAAACTCTCACTGTTTCCTTTGAGTCGCTCACTAACCACAAACAGCACAAAATATGGAACCCAAGGTCAACGCAAATAAATGCAGGAAGGATAATTCACAGAGCTTTATGTATTGTATAGACACGCGCGCTCACACACATGTACATATTATAGTCACCGAGATTATCAGACTGACGTCTGAGATTTGTGAAACACTGAAACTTATGCAGACACATAGGTTTTCAGACGGAAACCCCTTGAAGAATTTAGGTTAAAGGAAATCTCTCTGATATGAAACTAGAGGCCAAGGAGTGTTGCCATTGATTTTCCAGACCAAATGAAAGGTCAATCGAATTAACTTTTCGACGATAAGGGAAATAACTTGACTTGCAGCACTACAAGAAGGTTCCTAGCAAAGAAAACAAATTACGTATGGTATTGGTTTCCAACATCCGAGTAAAGATTCACTCGAGTTATATTTTCGCTGTTGACTATGCAATATTGTCACCTGTCATAAAAGTGCAAAGAGGAAAACCTGTGAAAGAGATGAAAGTCCAGAACTTAGGAATTCATGCCTACTGGCTTGCCACTTTCAGAGATTCATTCACTGAACAAAGAATGTACAATGATTCTGACCACCTGGGATTGCCTGTATATGTCTGAAGTTAAGACAGAAACAGGGTGAGTTCATTTTCGGTCTTTTCTTGCCACTCGTTTAAATAGAAAAAAAGCTTGGTAGTGTAAGGAAAAGAATTTGACAAAATATTATATTAAGCTTATTGCACCTAGATATAATAATTCTGATTTCTGAGCCAATGCCATAAAAATGTTCTTCCTGTCAGAGGGGATCGAGCTAAGTAAAAGCATGACAAAGAATGATCATTTGTACTTTACAGCAGTCAAAATTACCAATTATGCTCATTGTCTGCCACGCAAGACCATGGATATGGACATACGTGTAATTGCACAAATGCTTCCATAGTTTACTGGTTCGAGGACAAAAAAGGATCATCAAACTTCTCAGTGGAGAGCAAACCATAAAAACCTTTACCTGAGATGATACTTAAATATTAATCTGCAAAAGCATGGTCAGTAAGGCACCATTTGTTGATTTAAGCTGCTAAAAGCCTTTTCCACATTCCATTTAGTTCTTTTGCACAAAGAATTCGGTTAAGTTTGGGCATGAGTGCCTACCTTCTCTGGTGGTCCTTCCACCCAGGCAATGCTCTGATTACCAAAAACAAAAGAAGAAGACAGTTCAGTGTAGCAACATGAGAAGGGAAAGCGAGTCCTGTATTAGAGACAAGCAATATTGCAACGGAGAAACGCTGCACAGTTAGCAACTTATATAGCGTTGGAATGAATCAGACAACGCAATGTCTGAAACTTCGATGGCCTCAAGGATAAAGGAAAGTCAGGTCATTTAACTAACATATCCATAAATATATATATATACTCCTCCTGTCCTAATATAAGACTCATTTAACTAATTTGATTAGATTAAGGAAGTTAGGTAAGTTAGTTAATTATAAGAAATGTGACACGTTTTTTCTAAAACACCATAATCATCTTTTTTAATCTCAATCTCTCTCTTTTACTTGATTATGATTGAGTAAGTATCCATAGGGGTAATTTAGAGAAAATTGATAAATATGATAAATGGGTCTTATATTTAGGACCAAAACTAACTTAACAATTGGGTCTTATATTAAGGACCGGAGGAGTATATAGATATCAAACTACACAATAATAAATAACAGGTAAAATATAAATAAGGCCAAAAAAATCTTATTTTTTTTATCTTATAAATAAGATCAAGAGAGTAGTAGCAGAGGATGTTTTTTTTTTTTTTTTTGAGCTGAATAGCAGAGGAGTGTTAGTATGCAAGATTTATTAGTACAAATTTTGCGCACACTATTACTACCCCGCTTTCTGTCCTTCGGTATCTTGCTAGACTTTTTAAATTTGCTAATCAGACATCAAGTTAAAGATCTGTCACTTTTGGGCCTGTGGAACTGGAAGTGGGAAATTTCATCGGCCCTGTTTCCATTTCCCAGCTTCAATATAATTGAGTTTTTTTTTTTTAATAAACATGTTGGATGAGGATTAGTGTTGGCTAATCAGCAGATTATAACAATTGATGTGAAATAATTTTTAAGTTAAACAACTTCGTTTAAAAAATTGATAAACATAAAAAATAAAATAGAATAAAATATTATATTTAGTATTAAAATTAGGGAAAATCCCAGCAAAATCCGGTTAAAATACCTCAATTCATATTAAAGCCTGCACTTTTTGTGTATATCTAATTAGGACATGAGTTCCAATTTATGATTTTTGAATGTTGTTAAAAGATTAGGATATTTCTCTTTAATTAAAATGAAAAAATAATTATTTTACTCCTCCAAGTGACCTCTCACCTCTTATAATTATTTTTAAGACTAAAAAACATATAAAATTTTTCTATATATAACTAAAATCTTCAAAAATATTTTAATAAAATTTTAAATTTGAACATAAATGGCGTTAAAATAAATATTTTTTATTTTATGTCTGTAAATAATTATTTTAAGATCTTAAAATATTTTAATTACAAAAAATATTTAATATTATGTTCTTATAATTTAAGTTAGTTTTATTTCCTTAAACAAATATTGGATTCCAACCCAAAAATGTAATTTGTAACAACTTAATATAAAATATTTCTTGTAATTAAGATATTTTAAAATTTTAAAAATAAGTATTTACAACTTGAAAATACAAAATATTTATTTAAAGGGTACTTATATCATAATTTAAAATGTTGGATTAAAATATTTCTAAAGGTTTTAGTTACATATATATATTTTAAACATTATAAAATTACTTATGTGCTTTTTCCCCCCAAAAAATAATCATAAGAGAAAAAAGTAATTATTGAGGAGGGGTAAAACAATCAATTTCTTTTAACTAAATAAATACATTCTGCTAATTTAATAATATTAAAAAATTTCTAATGAGACCTCATGATCTAACTTGGAATTTGTTAAAAGTATATGTCTGAATTTAAATTTAGGTATTTTAATTAGATTTAATTAGAATTTTTCCTTAAAATTAAGAATGATATAGTATAATAAATAGGTAAAATAAACTATTTTTAAGAAAAAATGCGTTACATTGGAATAGGACGAGTGAAGTAGATGCAATTATGAAAAGAATTGCTCACCAGGGACCTTCTGAATGCTGAGAATCACAGAAAAGATGATAAGCAAGAGAACATGTTACCGTCGTCCTCGGCTTATCCCTTTCCTTACTCCTCATGAGGCCTAGTTTTCTCGAAAGCAACATGACCCAGTGAACATCATGCTTCCTCTTGGAATACGCCATGATGAAAGACCCAGAGCTTGATCAACTCCATCACCACAACCAGCAGCAGCGAGACCTGGAAATCCTCAAAGCCGTCGCTCAGGCTATTTACAATCATTCCGGCAATTCTAGGCCCATCAGTGAATTCGACGCTCATCCTCGGAATTTCAAGTGCAAGCCTTCAAGATTTCAACCCCAGTCGGTGACCACCAAATCTTCGACTATCGAGGAACCCGGCGTTGCTCCCACCTGGGATTTCAATCAGTCGCTTTGGGACTCATACGAGCTCGTCACTGTCTCCCGAAGGTTAGAGACAGGCTTAAGTTTGGATACCGATGACCCCTTTTCTGTCTCGAGTTTGAGTGGATTCCTTAGGAGGCGTAGGCAGGAGAGTAACAATAGCCTTAGGAATCTGTTCAATCAAATGTCTTCTCGGAGATTTAATGAGAACCAAGTTCCACGCCAAAATAATAGTTAAAGTTTTATCTCTGACAATTTTTCTTCTTCTTTAGTTCGTACATTTCATAGGGGGAAAAAATCAAGCTCTTCCATTATTCGGGAAAAACCAATGAAGAATCTGTAAAAAAATCTTCAGCCTATTCTTCATTGTATTGTACTTTCAAAACGTTGCAGCGTCAAAGTTTGTTATTCTTACATCAACATTATGACTTTTACCAATCCAAATCCTCTGTCTTTTAATGGATGGTGATTGTTTCTGCACATGGTTTTGCCTTTTCAATTTGGTATTTGAAAATACTCTCACATGCGTATGGCGACTTGTCCGTTGGAAATTAACCGTCCAGCATATAGAATTGGAGCCTTGCTGATTTGGTCAGATATTAAGTGATAATCAGGATTTAAACTGAGCATATCCTAAATTATGCTTGCTTCAGTTTTCATCACTAGAACATCAATCTTCAGAGTTGATGGTCATGTGGTTCATATAAAGAGCGCGCGCGCACACGTGGAGGTGAATCCTGAAGGTGAGTTCTGATTGGAATTATATATGCTAGATGAATAACACGCTTGAAAACTATAAAAGTACAGCATATCTGCTGTTCATTCTTTCATATTAGTAAGTAACACCCCATAAGTAGGAGAGTACAGTACAATAACAACAGTAGGGTAAGGTAGGCAGGCATTTTATTCATACAAGCAGCCATTTAGCAATGGTGAGGGATTTATTAATGATATATGACCTGCCTAGCAAATTACTGGTTCATGTTGTGTGTGGAGATCGATGGTGGTGAGCCTAGTCCCTGTAGGTCTTCCACCTGTAGAGCTTGTTGCCCCTGGGGTTGCCATATCGGTCCGCCTCATATCGGTCAGACTCTTCATAGACGACTTCAGTGTTGCCATAGTTGTCAGCTCTCTCGTACTCTACCACCTCAACCCTCTCTCTTTCTTCAGGGTTCTGGTGGTGGTGGTGGTGGTAGCGAGGTCCCTCGTCTTCGTAGACGACCTCCTTGTTGAGAGCCGCATAGGCATTAGGGTACCTGGGAACATCAGGGAGAACACTGGGAGTCCTGTGCACCTGTGAGATGTGGCTGTGGTAGTCACGAGAGTTCAACATTTTTGCTGTGTATCTCCTTTTGTGTTGGATCTATCAATCACAGAGGTAAGCACAAGACGTAATTAAGAAGTTGGCAAGGCAGGGTGATATTTATAGGCGGCTGATTGCAACTGATATGGTGTTTTCATGGATTGATTCTCCTCAAGTTGATGAGATTGAGGCTGAATCTAATTCGATCCCCTGGGGCTTTAGTCTCTTTCCAACAGTAGATTCCACCTGAGATCTGGAAAAGGTGGGATTCCCATGGAGAGTGAACACAGGTAAGGCTGAGGAAGACGCAGAGAACACAGAAGGGTACAATAATTCAGGTCGCGCAAGCAAAACATGTTCCTCCTCGACAGATGGCGACATCACTTGTAATAATAGAACCCCTTTTTATTCTTTCCGCAATTCGCATGTCAATTTCCACACTGCTCTGAGATTCACAATGTAGACATATAATTTTAACGGTGTATATTTAAAATTTTTAACTAATAATTTTTTTAATAGAATTTTTTCCAAAAAATAACAATAAAAAATTGTTTTTATTTTAAATTTTATACACATTAAAATATGGGATAATCCTACAAAAATGATCGTTAAATTTTAAAATTCTAAATTAGGAATTACTACAAAAATATGTTGATATTTGCTTTTCGCATGTAGTCATTTTTTTTACGAGTGTAGTAATCAATACTGATTTGAAATTTCAAAATTCAACAGTCTTTTTTTAAGATTTTTTCTTAAAATATTAAACTACTAAAAATAAAATTATACTAAATTTGGATTGTCCAATTTTAATATGAATGGTCTCAATTTAATGCTCATTATTTAAATGATAAGCACCCAGACTGAATACAGTTTGACACAATTCATAATAACGCAAAATATTAGGAGTAAGTTTGGTCTTCATATCTTAGAAAGTACATATGTATCTATAAACTGTTAGTTACGAGTAATGTAACTCATGATCACATTATGTGGAAGGTAATGTAAAATGTATTTAGTTGATACATAAAACGAGAAGTGTGAAAATAAATAGGGAAAATAAATAAGTGAAAAAACATGTATTTTTATATATTTTTTGTGAATCAGAAATATATTGAAAAAGTTATTCCCATTTAAAATCCCACAGCATTAGAATTTAATTTAGCATGATATAGAATTTGGTCGTGAAAGAAAGATGTAAAGCAGATTAAGGAAATTAAAGGCTAAGAGGAATATGAGAACAACTTGATGACAGTTAACGACAATTCATAGACTCTAAAATTGTAGCCAAGGGATTCGCATAATGCTGGATGAGAGACAAGCGAATATCCGCTGAATGTGATGCTAGTTTTGTTACGGACCTAATTTTGTTTTAATCTCAACCATGAAACACGTTTTTGAATTGAAACTAAATCAAATTTTCTTCCACATTGAAACAACCTTATGAATTTATCAAGAAACAAAAAAACCATACCTGACACTAAACCGATTAAAATAGTAATTCAAGAATTAATGGGTCCAACTGAGTCAACTTAGGATCAAACTGGTTATATTAAAATAATATAATTTAATTCAAAATAACAAAATACAGCAATATTAATAATAATTAATAACAAAATACAAGGAAATGTAATAATAGTTTGATTATAATAAAACATAACAATATTGAGAATTTTGATCTTTACATTTCTTCAATAACTAAAATTAATAATTATTGATACAAAAATCATCATTAAAATTTATTTAAATATATGGTAACTGAGATATTAGGAGTTGAATAAGTAAAAATAAAATCAATAGCAACATAATCATCTAAACCTGTTTATCACTGGTTCACACCAACTTCCACTGGTTTGACCAAGTTAATACTGGTTTGACACTTAAACTAGACCAAACCACTAGCTGGTTTACTAATTTTTCGCTTGGTTTCATCCTATTTTTTGTGCCATGGAATTTATTCTTACTTTAACTACTTTATAAAATGATATCCCATTTGAAAAGATGGCGTCGGTCCATATTTTAATTACTACTTTTGAGTACCGATCTTTTATTAGTTAACAAATATCCAACAATTCAATACAGATATTTGCAAGTTTTTTCCCCCAAAAAAATCCGATTAATATTACCCAAATTACCAACAAAAACTTTCATTTCTTTCTTGGCCACAAAAGATTTCATCTCATTTCCAATACCTATGACTATGGGTCTCCCTTCGCCTTTGTTCGTCACTAATGATACGGTAAATATATAATTTTAACCATCATCTCGTTTTTCAGGTACAATTTTACTCTTAATTTTTTTAGTAATGCAATTTCACTTATAATGTGAGATTCAATTCATTTTTATTTCCTAGTTAAATGACTTGGCAAGTCAATCAGTACTTCTAAATGTGAGATTCAATTAATATAAAAAAAAAATGTGAGATTCAATTCATGTTGCAAGAAAATTTTCATTGGCACACCCAATGGTAAAAGATTTATTGTATTGTTAATTGTAACATTTGGAATTTTTATTTTTAAAATTTAGAATAATTAAGGAAATACAATTGTGGGGTACATTTAAGAGCAAGATTAGCCGGCAAAAAGGAAAAAGAGCATGATTAACTTTAATAGGTGAGAAATAAGATAAAATTAATTAGAAATCAGCTAAGAAAAGATAAGTAGGCTTGTCAATTTATGAATTAAGGGGTGTGGGTTCCGTCTATGTTAACCCGAGCTTGTTGTTTTTGGCGAGTTAGCAAGGATTTAACTTATACTCCTCCAGTCCTTATTATAAGACCCAATTTGACTTTTTATTTGGTCCTAATTATAAGACCCAATCCATTTTGTCTCTTATATTTATGCATTTTTTTCCAAGATAATCCTTCTAATAATGATAGTTTTAGCCAATATACTTAATTAGCAAGGATATTTTAGGAATGACAACACTTATTTATTATAAATAACCAATTTAACTTACTTCCTTAATCTCCTCAAATAAGTCAATTGGGTCTTATAATTAGGACCGGAGGAGTATTACCAACTTTAATTATTATGGACATGTTTCAAAATTGAGACACAAGGTATTTTACCCTAAGCATAGCCTATGATAGATATTGATGAAGAATAGTTTTCTAGTTCATAATTTTAGACGGAAACTAAACTAGAAAAAGAGGGTTTCGAAGGTTTAGGGTTGAGTTTTGCTTACTAAGTTCGTATGTTCAACTTTTTGGAGGGTTCCAAGCTTCTAGTTAACCTTTAAGGCAAGTGATGTGTGAGATCTGAGGCTTTGAAGCGATGAAAAGTTTGGTTTATTGTATCTTTAGATTTGGAGTAACTTTCGACTGATCTTTGATGTGATTGTGAACCATGCGATATCTCATATCTCATATCTCATATCTCATATCTCGCATACACGCAACCATTATCACAAATAAATGGAGCGTAAAAACGATGTCGTTGCGGAGCTCTATTCTGACGGACGCTTTTTGGCCGCCCTTCTCGGCTAACGCGCAACAGCTGCTAAACGCATAATGGCGGCGATTCCAGGGTCTCTGGTTCCCGCCAAAACTATAACTTGCATTCCTACCATCCCCCAATTTCCTGAAAACCCGAAGTCCATAATACTTCAGAAATGCAGGACGCGCAGGGACCTCAACCAAATCCATGCCCACCTCATCAAAACCCGTCTCATCTTCAACCCTTCCCTCGTCGAAAACCTCCTTGAATCCTCGGCCATCATTCTTCCCAACACCATGGACTACGCGCTCTCCATTTTTCGCAAAATCGATGATCCCAAATCTTCCGCTTACAATGTCATGATCAGAGCCCTCACCTACCAGCAATCCCCTGATGAAGCCCTTCTTTTGTTCAAGCAAATGTGTGCCTGCGCGGTACTTCCCGATGAGTTCACTCTTTCCAGTGTCTTCAAAGCTTGCTCCAAATTCAAAGGCTTGGTTGAAGGCCAACAGATTCATGCCCATGTTGTGAAACGTGGGTTTCAGTCGCATGGGTTTGTCAAGAATACGCTAATTCATATGTATGCAGTATGTTCTGATATGGAGGTTGCTCGTATGGTGTTCGATGAAATGCCTGTGGGAGACCTTGTTGCCTGGAATGCAATGTTAGCTGGGTATGCCAAGAGCGGATGCTGGGAAGAGGTTGTGAGCATGTTTCTTAACATGCGGGAAATGAATATCGGATTTGATGAGGTTACTATGATTACTGCTTTGACGGCATGTGGCAGAGTAGCTAATCTGGAATTGGGAGAGTGGATTGCTCAATATATTGAGGCAAAGGGACTGAAGGGGAATATTAATTTGGCAACTTCGCTTCTTGATATGTATGCAAAATGTGGTCAGGTCGACACAGCTAGAATACTGTTTGATCAAATGACGCGGAGAGATGTGGTTGCATGGAGTGCCATGATATCCGGGTACAGTCAGGCAAATAGATGCTATGAGGCTCTTAGTTTGTTTAATGATATGCAAAAAGCTAATGTCGATCCTAACGAGGTGACCATGGTTAGTGTACTGTACTCTTGCGGAGTTCTGGGAGCTCTGGAAACTGGTAAATGGGTTCATTTCTATATCAGGAAAAAGAAACTGAAGCTCACCGTTTCTCTCGGCACTGCACTCATAGACTTCTATGGCAAGTGCGGGTTAATAGACAGTGCAGTTGAAGTTTTTCAAAGAATGAGTACCAAAAATATCGTCTCCTGGACAGCGATTATCCAAGGGCTAGCTAGTAATGGTGAGGGAAGAAGAGCTCTGGAGTTTTTTCGTTTGATGCAAGAAGCGAATGTTGAGCCAAATGATGTGACTTTTATTGGCGTTCTTTCTGCTTGTAGTCATGTGGGTCTAGTTGAGGAAGGTCGAACACTATTCCTCAGCATGAGCAAGGACTATGGAATTGAACCAAGGGCAGAACATTATGGCTGTATGGTTGATATTCTAGGTCGCGCCGGTCTACTGGATGAGGCACTTCAATTTATAAAAAACATGCCTATGGAACCAAATGTAATAGTTTGGAGAACACTTTTGGCTTCTTGTAGAGCACATAAAAATATTCCAATAGGCGAAGAATCATTTAGACAGATAGTTCAATTGGAGCCGGCTCATAGTGGGGA